TGTAATAATACAGAATTTTTTTATACAAATCATTTGTTTCTCATCTAAATCAGAAATTAATATTTATTCTATAAAATATTTGTTTGTACATTTATTAAAGCATATGGAAACCAGTGCATCATAGATCAGGATATAGTGCTTACAACAGAATTTGAATTGACAACGATGTGCAGGTGTCACATTTGGTATGCATAGATACAAACTGCAGTTTTCAGTAAAAAAAAGAGCCAACCTTAAAACTGAACTTCTGGCAAACATAAAAGACACAAATGAATGCTGATCTGTGTTCATTAATACAGCATTAAATCAATTTTTCAATGCAACTAGTGCAAGTGCCTGACATTTACTTGGTATCAGCCTGCTGCAGTTCCTGTACAACAGAACTCCAATAGAGGGAGAAGCAGCAAAAAAAGAGACAATCAGCTGTGCTGCAATGCAAGGAGAATGCTGATAAATGGACAGAGAAGAGTGACAGATGAGCTCCTCAACCTGCTGCTTTTCCTTTCACTGTCCAATCACAGCCGGGGGCAGGGGAGGAGACCTGTAAGTGCAACTCTGCTGCACCAGAGATAAATCAGGTCACCGTCTCTGCCAAACAGGGCTGTGGTTATTGGCAGAGTTGTGTAAATCTCAGAAGTGGATAGATAGAAATACAAATCATTTGGCAGATAAAACAACTCCTTTATATGCAGCTGTACTTTTCATCTGTGTATTTAGCTGTTTGCCTAAACTGGAGCTCTAAAAAAAAAAAAAAAAAAGAAATCAAATAACCTTATCATTTATATTTTATTAAAAGATACCAGTGACAATGCAGGCAAAAGCAACAGGTATACCAAAGTACATTTTTTTCTATAGTTTTAATAGAGTGGTAATGAGTTAGATCCTTTGACAAGTTTTATTGACAGTCTGTGCCCCTGCTGGGGTGACAGTCTGTGCCCCTGCTGGGGTGACAGTCTGTGCCCCTGCTGGGGTGACAGTCTGTGCCCCTGGTGACACTTATTCCTATGACAACTCTCTAAGTTGGGAATTCTGTTCACTATGGAGAGCTTTCTTCTTATTTCCTTTTGTGTCTTTGGGACAGAACATGAGGGAAAAAATCTCCCCAGCAGGATGTCGACAGCAAAAAGTAACTTAATAGGGATGTTAACCCTAACCCAATGTAAAAAAAAAAAATGTTGTCTTTACATACACTTTAACTGCTGCCTCCTCTACCGGTTCCCTATACTCAACCTTCTCACTCCCCTGGCACTGTCTTCACCTGGGATAGAAGAAGCCCTGTGTAAGCTCTAAGTCACTCTGGTCATGGGTTACACACGGTTGAGAACTCCCTGCCCCCATGTGACAGGTGCCTGCTGCATTGTGGGAGGAAGAGGAGTGAGTCACATGTCCTCCATAACTGGAAGTACCAGATATTTCTTTCAGCTCCCTACATGGGTAAAGCACAGGTTCACGTTAAGTAAAGATGTTGTCCTTCAGCAAGTCTGTAAGAAAAACAACGTTCAAGCTGCCCAATCCACTGTTTCAGCTTGTTTAGTCTTGCTGACTCCAGCAAAATGTAAGCTGCAGCTGGTTCTGTTGCCATCACCTTGTTCGACAAAAGTCAATCTTTCAGTCAACATTTGTTGAAGAAGCGAGGCCAAACATTACCGCCGACAGTGACCGCAGTCAATCAGCTGTAGTCATTGTTTGGGTATTCTGACAGATGAGGGCGCCGGTAGACAGAGTACAATAACTAGAAAACACACAAAAAGCACATAAAAAAATGCATACAATGAATGCACACAAATCAGGTCTAGGAGTGGTTACATTTCCATACCTGAGGTAATGGTTGAAATAGATATCCAATGACCAGTATGACCAAAAGCACCATAAAGGAGGACAGCAAACCCGCAATCTAGAAGAAAGCATTTACAGTCACATATATAATAACATTGTATTGATAATGCTAGATCAACAAACTAGGGATACCAAAACAAATGCATGCAATCATTTTCTGCAATGTTATTTCCTGCAAAGTCAATGAAAATATTACCATCTGCAACAAAACTAATCTGCCATTAATCATTTTTCTCATCCTCTTAGAAAAACATCTGTCAGGGAAGTCCCCCACAATGTTGAAGTGCATAGTGGTATCAGCGAGTTCTACACACTTGCTGACCTATCCACAGAAGGAAGGACTATACTTTTTTTTGTTATTAATTGAAAAGAAAATAGAAACAAATAAAGTTTAATCTTTACAATGCTGATCCTCTAACATCAAAAGAATAAGCCCTGTGGACATTACAGCTACTTAAACTTTTAAGGCCTGTATTTAAAGTCACCGGCAGAACTACCACAGTTAACAGTTCACGTGGCTGTTAAGGGGCTTGAACCAAAGGGGGCTGGGTTAGGGCCACGGGGATGAGAAGCATTGAGCAGTTACACTGGGCCACCTGAACGCCATCCATATATCCATTGTTCATGTGGAACCTGCATGGATTTGATAGCTCACTCGATCACTGCTGTCATTTGTAAACTTCGATGCAGAGGAAGTCTTCCACTACTCTTTTCCTCTTCAGCTCTAACAGATGACATCTAATGCAGAGCATGGCAGAGGAAGCAAGTAGTGGAAGACTTCCTCTGCCACCTTCTATGTTTACAAATACCAGTGGTGATCGGGTGAGCCGTCAAATGCTGTATTTTAGCTAGGCTATTCGTCCCCTTGTATTGTTTTTCAGCCTTTTCATTTTATCCAAAGCGTAGCTTCAATAATTTGACCACAAGGTCTGTTAATTTTGTCAGAATACACCTGGGCTATTTTTCATCCTTATTTATTAATGCTACTTGCCCCTTAGTGACAGAGATTTTACCATCATGCTGAACCAGGTTGCACATAGTTATATAATCCTGAGAAACTAGATAAAAGAGTAATGCATAGATTATAGGTAAATGAATAATATGGAAATGAATCGGACCATATAGACCATTTTTATTGATTTTACAACATGCTGAACACAACAGCCTAACACAGGGAAATACAGAGAATTAGAACGCAGTCCACACATTGAAGTGTGGGTATTCGTAACTATCACCAATACGTTATATAGGAACAAAAAGATGCAATGAATACAATTTACATCACATACCTGTGTGTTTCCTCCAGTGCTCTCTTGAACTAGGCTACGAGACATTGAGCAGGTCACAGCAAACGTATGAAAGAAAGAGCCGATCGAATTGCACAGCCCCATAGCAATAAGTTCCTGCAAAGTTCAATCATGTCAGTATACTCAAAAGCATTGAAAAACTGTGGTTCTGATTATTAAAGGTCATCTGAATTGCCCTCCAGTAAAATAAAGTAAATCTAACTTTGTAAAGTAAGTACCTTCATTTTGATAGCTTGCCCTCTACAATATGCAACTTTCTGGGTATAACAACAACTGGCACATCCCCTAACTGATGTTCAGTGTCTACAAGACATATTGTCATTAACCAATGTGGGGGAAGGGAAATGGCCAAGCCATAGCTGCTATTGTTGAACCCCTCCTTTTTAAAAAAAAATGTTTTAAGAATGCTAGATCCATAGCTGGCACGCTAAAGCTCTGGCTTCAATGCTTTCTGATTCACTGACTTGGAACATATATAGAGATAAGGAATTCTGGTACTAATTTACAACATCTTGTTCTGAGTCTGTGACATTAAAGTACTTATAAACATTCAGGCAACTATCATTTTCTTCAGGCAGCCAGAAATGGCTGCCCCATACTTTCCTCATGACATTGGCCCTTTAAAGGGTTACATCACAGCCTCGAAACTTGGTCTGCGAGTCAGAGAAAGGTTACATCTTTCAGGGGCTTTCAAGATAGCTGGAATTGGAAATGTAATTTCTTCTTAAAAAAACCTAACACTTTTTTAAAGAACAACTCCAAAAATATTGTTTATTTACCCTTATATTCCCCTGATGCTCTGAGCAGGCTTGTTCTTAGATCGAACAAGTAAAAACAAAAAGTGCCAGGGACAACCACTCCTCTGAAGGATTTAGTAAAAGGTGCATACTGCAGGATGCTGCCCCACTGCAGCCAGGGAGACTGTGGTATCTATGAAAAAGCACAAAAAAGGGGGCGCCTTCCCTAGTGCAGATACATTTTATACAGGTATAGGCAAACAATAGAAATGATACTCACAAGAGTAAAATGGATATAAGCCTTAGGACCATGAACCAGAGTGAGGCAAGTGGAAGTAAGCAAAACAATTTCTATGTGCCAGAGAAAGATGCCTGCGTTGACGCGTTTCAGGGGCATGCCCCCTTCGTCAGATCCTTGAGGTCAACGCAGGCATCTTTCACTGGCACATAGGAATTGTTTTGTTTACTTCCACTTGCCTCACTCTGGTTCATGCTCCTAAGGCTTATATCCATTTACTCTTGGGAGTATAATTTCTATTGTTTGCCTATACCTGAATAAAATGTATCTACACTAGGGAAGGCGCCCCCTTTTTTGAGCTTGTTCTTAGACCGGTCCCTAGAGCCTCTCTCCCCCTCCTCTGCATCGGTCTGAGGTCCCATAAATCATCATGTCTATACACAGTGTATAGATGGGAGGACACTTAGGAAGATTAGAATGCTGAAGCGTAGGGGGAGACAGGCTGGAGGACTTTGACAGCTGGCCAGCTCGGAGCTCCCAGTGAGTATAACTGTTATTTTAGCACCTAGACACACACACAAACAGTTAACCCTTGCACTGCAGGTAAATCTTTCCGGCAAGTGTTTTAATATACAGAAACATTCTACACCAATAAATATTTGGTGAATGTCACATTCACTGCTTTATTACTTTAACATTTTAACATTTTAGACACCTAACATAATGCATGGAACACGGTGTATAGCACATTCTGATTTACTGCCAGCAAGTGAAGCTTTCACTTGCTTCCAGTTCCTTCTGACCGCTATAAAAAGCCTTTTACACGGTACAATAGCTCAATCTGCAATTTACACACAAATGAATGTGCCAGAGCAGTAACTCATCTGCCTCACCTCTACCACTGCAGGTCTTTTTAAATTATAGATGTGATGCCGATTTCCTAAAATGTGGAGAATGTTGTAACCAATAAATTGTATGAATATTTACTTGAATGATCCAATCATATGCAGATGAAATATGTGAACAGGATTTTGACCATTGGATAATTGAAGTGAATATTCACACAGTTTTAATAAACATTCTCAATTGCTTAAGTAAAACAGCCACACCGTGTCTGAAAGCTACTGATAACTACTGCTGTGCGCGCTCTTTAGATAACAGTGTTCTGGGAATGATTTGTCATTTATTAAAAATGTGTTTGTACTGATAAAACATGACTTTATATATATATATAGACTCTTAAAAAAAATAAACTGGGTCCAAAAACATTATACTTCCATTTAACTGATGTATGTTACAGTATATTGCAAAAATGTTTTGTTAAAAGAAATTTGTTTATTTTTATGGCAACCGTTTATAAGAAATAAAAGTAATGAAAGAGACCTTTGTATTTGGTTCTTTTAAATGGCTACCAGTAACCTTACTAGGGCTAGGAAGCCGTCATTGTTTTTAGTAGGGATGCACCGTATCGGTATCGATACCGAGTATTTGGGTGAGTACTCGTACTCGCCCAAATGCTCCGATACCTAGCACGAGTACTTCCTGTATCAGGAAGCCGGGCAGCGCATCATTACACGCTGCCCGGTTTCCTGATTGGCCAGGATCAGTCTTAAAAAAGTGGTATCGGTGCATCCCTAGTTTTTTAGCATAATTATTGTTTAAAAAAGATATCTAAACCCAGAAGCAAAAATTTTATATATTTCAGTTTACCAATTCTTAGATGTGGTGGCTGCATTAGTTTTCTCTTGTTAGGCTTTTTTCCCATTATTTTTTACTTGATGATCACTCCAGTAAGCGTGTAATTTTTCATTTTCCGTTGCCTGACCAAGCCTTCCAGACAAGTGGCAGTTAGAGGGTTGAGAAAAACCACAGGGGAGTGCACAATGGCCAGCTTGTATTCATTTATGTAAAACCTTTATCCCAAAAAGGTAAAAAAAACAAAAAAAAACTGTGTTGTAACTCCTAAAAGAAGAACTCCAGGCAAAATTTTCACTAACCCTTGCTTGTTTTGGTCTAGGGAGGAAAAAAAAAACTAAAAGCTATACTCACCGAATCCTCTGGGCCGTCCAGCTGTGGCAGCGCTCCCTCCTGCCTATCTCCTCCTATGCTGCAGCATCCTCACATCCCATACACTGTGTATAGAATGTGATGACTGAAGGACCTTAGGCGCAGCAGCAGAAGAGGAGCGAGGCTGGAAGGGAACGGTCTAGGAGCAAGGCTGCTTGGAGGATAGGGTGAGTACAACTTTTTTTTTTATTTTCCTCCCTAGAGCACAACAAGCAGTTAACCCTTACAGTTTGGGGGTAGTCCCATTACAGGGGTTAAAATGTTTTTTGCCCAGAGATCTTTAACAAAAGTGTTAGCTGGAATTGGAGATGTAATTTGTTATTCAAGTCCATCTATATCGGTTAGTGCATCTTACACTACCTTACGCACAGGCTGGCAATGCAGCTGTCCAAGAGTGGCTTTATTGCTCCTCCATAGAGTGGAGCCACTTTAAGACAGAAAGTGTGTTACTGATCAGAAAGGAAATTTTAACTTTAAGGTTCCCAGTATAGAATGGTTGAAGTCAGACCTCTGCCACAGACTGAAATTAACCCGTATACCTAATGCAGTCACAAATCCCAGAGTTTACCTCTGTTAAAACCTTGTAGGAGGGCTGAGGTTTGTGATTCTACAAAAAAGTTTAATGAAGCTAGAGTTTAAAGAAGTTTGTATTAGGGTTGGAGATTCAAGTAGGGTATACATGGGTAGATTTTTGAACGAACGCTCAATCCCATCAGAAACGTTTGATACTGCCATAAGAAACTTGCCAATTGTTGTTCGAAATTTTGTTTAATTCTTGTTTTTATTTAACATTCTATTTTGGAATAAATGGAGTTTCTGAACAAAAAACACAGTCGCTGTTAGAAATTCGTTCAATCGAGAAAAATGATCCAACATGCTCCTTCAAAAATGTTCGTGAACATTGAAGTTTTCGTCTGTCGATTGCACCATACGAATTGATATTGTCACAGTTGATACTGCCAGCTGCTACAGAGAGAGTTAGCGGGAGGGCCCAAACATTTTGCTATGGAACCCCATGATTTGAAGTTACACCCCTTCTTACCCTGTAGGGATATTTCCAACTACATCTACACCATATGACCCTTCAAGATTCAGCCCAGTTGAAACTCCAGTTGAGATAATCACCTTTAAAGAGAAGGGAAAGTTATTTTAATCTACATTAAAAAACACAAGAAAGCCATCATAGATGTACATTCATTCAACTACAAGGCTGAATGACAACATTTAAATAAAGATAGATATACGGTATACTGATGTGATAAAAGTGGTACATAAAAGGCGGTTTTACCTGTACTATGATGCAATGGTTAGTAATACACAGTATACCTATAAAAGCAAAACATGTGCGCACACTGCATATCATGGTAAAAAAAAACACCACTAGTTAGCTATATTAAACATGGTACACTTACAACAATGATCTCCATGGGAATTGGAACAGGCAATTTCTTTTTAAAACGATCATTAACTTCCTTGGCACCCAGCAGTAGTACCATGCATATAAGGCCAATGATCAGCGTGGGCACATTGGTCATTGCGATATTAGACAATACATCGACTAAGCTCTGAAACAGACACAGAAAATTTGCATATTCAAATGTGAGGTAAGTTAAAGTCTAGTTTCGTCTACTCAGGTCAGGTAATTTTTTCAATTACTATTATTTCCTTCCATTAAATCACATGTGAAAACAACAACTTAAATATACAGGTTAATCTTAAAATCCTTACATCTTACAATCCTTTGAATGGATGTGATCATAAAAGTTCTCTCACAGACAATACCTTGGTATTTACAACAAATTGAAAGTAAAAAGCAGCATCATTAAAACCCCAATATTTGTCTCTAATAACCTTAGGTTCTTGGTTTGAATCACAGTCAGGACACCAGTTGCATGGAGTTTGCATGCTCTCCCTATGCTTGTGTGGGTTTGTTCTAGGTAGTCTGGTTTCCTACCACACTCCAAAGACATGCTGGTAGGATAATTGGCTTCTGTCTAAATCAGCTCTGTATGTATCTGAGGGCAAGGACTGATGTAAAGCACTGCATAAAAAAAGTGGTGCTATATAAATAACTGAATTCTGAAAAGCATACAAAACGGTAGCCTGTACACTTGTGGCCTTATTTCATTACAGATAGCAGGCAGTATGCCTCCTGTGGTAGATTGGTATCAGTAGGGGGATGATCACATTTCAATTCTGCGATTAAAAAAGAAAAGCAACCAGGATGAAATCAGACTATAATCCAAGAAGGATATCCAGTGGTACTGAAAGTTATCTCTGATGTCAGTTGGACAATTCAATTCCTATACTTATTACACTGCTCAAAATCCCACAATCAGGTCATATTCCTTTGAAACTAAAATATCTACACAGATCCAACAGGAAGTTGGAGCCAAAACCACCAGTGAAAACCATGAGAATAAATGAGTAAGTCACTTACGTATATGACTGCTAGAAGTCCACTGTATCTCTTTGTCTTAATGCCCAATAGATATTTTAACTGAGAAATAAAGACATGTACCGCAGCTGCTGTGGTGAATCCTCGTACCAAAGGTTCAGTCAGGTAGATGGCTACAAAGCCAAATCGAAGTATGCCTAGACACATCTGGTAACAATATACAACATTATAGTTAGCAAACAAAGCTTGTTGTGACAGTTGGTCATGCTATTGTAATACTTCAATTCAGTCTAGGAGCTAGAGGATGAATATGTTGGCTCTGACAGAAAGCAAATCAGAGTTCAGGGCTGGATTTACCACTGGGGACAGTAGGAAGCAACCTATAGGCAGCAGAGGCAACAAGGCTTCTTTTTCCTGTGTAATTATAGGGTCACACATTTTCGATGCCATCAGGAAGAATAGTCAGATTTACACATTATCACAATATGCTAATACAGATAAGGACTAGATAAACAAGTAAATGTTCTTTGTAAAAGTGGTGACCCTGGCAGAGAGGTGTTAAGGTGCCATCAGTTGTGTGCCCACAACTTATCAGTGATCGAAATCCAGCCCTGTTTGCGCTATTAAATGAATGGAGGCAAATAATTTAATTGGATGTACTACATGTAATACTGCAGAATAATAACATGTGCGAAAGATATTTTTTACTTTATGTGAAAAATACATTTGAATAACAAAAGCAGCAGTTAGTTTAGTATTTACATACTGCTTTGCATTTCAAGCAAAGAAAGAAGGTCAGAACACGGTGACATCAGCTCAATCATAAAACAGTATGTTTTACTAAAACATCAATCCACTTACATGTTTTAGATTTACTGGTTCTTATTAACAGCTATGACTTTGATGGTTTGTACAGCGTAGAAGATTTGGTGTTTTCATCCCTGACATACCAGAAGAACAAGTCTGTAGGAACTTGGGAGTCCTGCGTATGCATTTACTGTGTAAGCTGTACTGAATCAAGGAATCAGTTTAAATTGCATTACAAACAAACATATTCCAGGAGAGGTAAGGAGATTATAGAATAGAAACTATAACTAAAGTCATAGGACATGATGCCCCATGGCGTGTATTATGATGAATTTTATATATCAAGGTCACCATAGTGGATATTTTGTGCTTTATTAGCACTAGCACCCAATGGGCTATACAATGCGTATATTCACAGTATGCAGGAACTGCTGGTTGATAACCATACATGTAAAATTGACCTTTACAAAGTCGAATTAGAGGAGTGTAGCTGGGAAGTTGAGCACATTTATAAAGCATGCCTCATCTGCCTTCTCCCTACACAAAAACTTCTGTAGAGCATTTAATACCAGACACAAACGAACAGAAAGACATGTGGTACTACAAGAACACATTCTGACCCTCCACTAAACTAGGCATATATTGTATGTAGAGAGTTAAATACTCTCCATTCAGTGATGTCTAGCACCGGTCTTCATACACTCATACACTCATTGATTAGAATTTCTATACACAGTAAATAAATAGGTACCTGAATTAGACCACAAAGTAAAGTAATTGCAACAGCTACTTTCACTCTCATTGCATCCCTTGCTTCAATCTTCTCTAGGTAATCTGTGCTGTTTGTGACATTGGTTTCCACTATATGAAACATCTCATCTGGAGCAATTCTTATTGCGACCCCACCAATCATTAGGCTGATTACTGCAAAGGTACCTGCAAGACAAGTTACAATGATGTTACAATACTGTATTGGTGCCCTGATGCCAATATTATTCGAAATATATACATTGGGGGGAATCATACAATATTACAGTCATAGTCCCCACCTTTCCACCTCCTATTGGTAAAGAAGCCTTACATAGGAACAGACAGTTAACACGGTCACTCCTTTGAATAGAATGTGAATATCTTCTAACAATCCTAATTTGGGCCATATCCTCCTGTTCATCCCTTCACCAAAAAACTTTCCCTAAATTATTCTTGACACAGGCATCTGAATGAATGTATTAACTTGGCTAAAAAGGTGGTTCTGGTTCAGTCTACAAAGTCAATGTTATGTGTTGCTCAATTATTTTTTCATTAGAGTGAAGGAAAAAATTAGTGATATTGCCCATATTAGGTGTAAGAAGAACACAGCAAGGACAACGCCTTCTCCTCCTGAAGCACATTTATTCAAGTAAATAGACAGGAAAAGTAAAAAATACTCACAAACCAAAAGTTGATCTTAGGCATATAAGATATAATATCCACTTCTGAAATGCTCATGACACCACAATGAAGCAGCAAGCAGCTGCTAGAAAAGGAAAACTTCATCTGCTGGACCAGCCAGCTACTGTTTCTAGAGAACTAACGCGTTTCTGGGGCGTACCCCCTTTTTTAGAGTTCATAACTGCAGTCTCCGTGAGTAAATTACAGTTGATTGGCTAAGGGGTCATTTATATACTATACTCGGAGACTGCAGTTATGAACTCTGATAAGGGGGGGGAGAGCAACAGGTACATGAATGCGTTGCATGCACCAATATTTGTCATACAGAAGCAAGACACACTTCGAAAGAGTGTCTGCGCCACTCTTTATGAATTCCAGGGATTGTTTCTAATGATTAATGGGCTTTTTCAACAATTTCTTGTAATATCCTCAACCGTCCCTACTATAGAACAGGCACATGTTGCGATCTCTTATGCTGTATCATTCTCTTCCAACCTATTTGTTAATGTAAAAAAAAGGCTAAGCAAAAGCGTAGTAATAGGTGCAGATATCACCTTTTTATCAACTACTTCCCGCCTAGAAGATGTCATTAATCACTGTAATTAAGCAACTGCTGATTAACTGGCACAGCACATGCTCTCTGAAATGAGTCCTGTAACAGTCAACTAATATGATAACATTATTAGGCTAACAATAAAAGACATTATAATGTTTTCTTATCTATAGATGGTCAATAAACAGACAGATATTTCCCGAGGGAGAACTGCCCATCACGCACAACCTTTTTCAGCAAAAGAACATGTAGTTATTCTCACCTGAAGGTGACAGTGGCACGCACCCAGTATTTAATTCACTTAATAGCAAAGGTTTAGAAACTGCTCATACTGTTTTTCAGTTTAACACTCTATTCTCTATATGTACCCCAAGGTAGGATAAAGCAACAATGAGATGTGACAAATTAAAGGTTAGCAGGCCCGGGAGAACAGATTTGTCTCAAATATATGAATCCTCGGCTTTTAAAACAACATTTTGCGAGCTTCTCCCATTACATTACTATTGGTTCCACAACAAATCGGCAGACAAAAAGGTGCCGAGATAATTGCAGTGGGAGAAGACCAGGAGATTCAGAGGAGAAGAACCCCCAGTTTAAGGCCCAGTCTTTATACTTTATGAAGACAGTGGGGGCGATTCAATACAGCATTTGCAATACTTTCCTGGTGTTAATGTTGTCTAAAATTGTCCTGTGCTTTCAGAAAACAGTGCAACAATTCTAAAGCTATTACTGACACATGCAACAAATTCAGGTACTTCTTAACAGCGACATACTCTTATGTCATAAGGGCTGTGACAAATTCATAAAGAAATACGGTTGTTTTGGAAACAAGTAAAATTGGCAGTAAATAAGAACAATGTCATTTTGAAGTAGTTTGTGTCAGGAAAGAGGAGTTTGTCCCCCAATGTTGTTGGTTGCTAGGATCCTGGCGGCTTTAATATATAAAATCTATATTATAGTAGGCTTACATAAAATGACCCAATAAAAGGAAGCAGCGCTTAGGATTTCAAGGATCTTTTTAGATTACTAGATTATTTATACTCTTGAATACATCAGAATGTCAGAGGAGCTCGTTCTTGGAATGTTGGGTGATCTCCCTGCGCAAAACCATGAACCTCTGGCACTAAGGCTACATAGAGCATTCGCATTATATTAGGAACCTAGGAGATCACAAAATAACATGTTTGCAATACCTATTGATACGTGTCTTGATGTTCCAAAGAAGGTGTACAGGAACACTGGATAAAATGAAGAATACAGTCCAAACACTGGCGGTACAGCTGCCAGCAGGGCATACGCTAACCCTAAAAACATATAAAAACAATCACATTTGTAAAGAAGAAGATGCAAATATATCTGCAGCTAAGTAGTATATTTTTAAATAATGATCAATCACTCTGCTTTGCTGTATTAGGACATTGCATTAAAATGTTTATTTGTGGAACAAAAAAAAATGATAAGTAATGGAACAATATTAGTTTGTAAGCTTTAAAAAAAAAACAAGTTACTAAAAAACAATATAGTTTCCCTTTCATGAAATACGTTTTGCATTAGCAAAGTAGCTACACTGATAGGGAATGAGTATTTTCTTCATTTATTTACAGCGCTAAGTCAACAAGATTTCTATAATATTTCATAGCAACATTTCCAGTCATTAAACAAAGCTCTAGCAAATCCTGTGTCAGGGCCAGTTCACACCATATCCAGTGTGTTCCGGCACAGTTCATGCCCAGATTGCATTGAATTGCATAAACCAGGTCTCCTGCGTTCTGGGACAGGAGGGGGCGTGGTGGTGCCATTGATTTCAAGAACACCATAGACATGCCTTCCGCCTGCAGTGCGATCGCCCGCACCAGAACGCGTGGTACAGCAATGCCTGCATTCCGGTGTGGTGCGATCGCAAACAATAGTGCATGCACTAGCAATCAAGAACACAATGGATATGGTGTGAACTGACCCTCAAAAAGGTGCTTACTGTATTAAAGAACTATGAGGTGAGTGCTTTTCACTCACCTCATAGTTCTAGCCGACCTGTGACAATGAGACTGTCACAGGTCGGCTCAGTAGATCGGGAGGTGAGCGAACACATACCGGCGTTCGCTCACCTCTCGATCCTGTTGCGGCTCTCTGCCGTGACAGGGGAGGGGATGGATTCCCCCCTTCCCGCTCCACCAGCGCTGACTGGCGGAACGGACGGGGCGGGTACAGCTGGCTCTGCCTCTAGATAGGCAGAGCCAGCTGTCACTCACGCAGCTGGGAGGATCTCAACATCGATGTCGGGATCCGCTCTGGCTGCGGCGTCTTAGTATACCGTGAGCTGTAACTCGCGGTATACTGAGCTTAGGGGAACGGGAGGACGCTAGTTTGTGTCCTCCCGTTACCCTAAGGAGAACTATGGGGAAAAGCCCTGACCCCATAGTTCTCCTTTAAAGCATATTATGCAATCTGTGTATACAAATATGTATATATGGTAAAAAGCAACAAACTAAGGAGAACAGGGACTGGAGGAAGTTAATTAGGGCTAGATGGAGATTATTATGGGTTATCAGGGGAGAAATAGGAAAAATATTATTTAAAGAAAAGAAACTTTCTGCATAATGCCTTTTTTTGTTTGTGTTGTTTAAAAAAATGTACACGTCCAAAAAAAAAATAAGGAATTTGTACATATCTATGGCACACTTTATATCCGTAAAATAACATTGGTGCTATGATAAGCTGGAGAAATGGAAGGACAAATTAACCCTTTTAAGTGGATATTACCAAGTTAATCAGCTAAGACCGCCCAATACCTCAGCCATGCATGGTCGATCTCATGGCTACTGAAAGCTTTCCAGACTCCACAGATACAGCATTCTGACCTTTCCAGTAATGTATACTAACCCTGTGGGAGCTGCATGACCCCGGTGCTCAGGCCTGAAACGATATCTCCCATGAGATACTCTTTCACTGGGTAACGTGGCAGCCATTTCAAAATTGGAAGGAAACTGAACAGCTGAGATTTGGCCTTCTTTGCAGTACACCTGTAATGTGGAACAGAAATAGATTAGTTCTTAGAATAAATAGCAATATAGAAACTGCTTGCCTGTCAATGGAAGAATATCTATAGCAATGGAATCAGTATTTATTTCAATAGTTTGATGTGTTTAAAAAAAACAAACACATAATAGTAACATTTCACAGATGCAGAGTTACAGTTGGCCATTACAGTTATTACAGGTTGTAGTTGTGATGTGGGGATATTCAATTACCGATGTCTGTTACACATGATCTATTGGGAAGTCTTTTATATGTTATTATTGATTTACATGTTCACTGTGGGTGATTGACTGGGGTGAATCTTCTGTGGGGATAAATGTTTATAGAAAGGGTGGGCAACTCCGGGCCTCCAGCGGTTGTGGAACTACAAGCCCCATGAGGCATTGCACGGCTGACAGTTACAGGCATGACTCCCAGTGGCAGAGGCATGTTGGGTTTTGTAGTTAAAGTACAGCTGGAGGGGCGGAGTTGCCCACCCCTGGTTTATGGTCTATTTAAGTCATGCCTGGGTACTAGCTGGCTTGAGAAAGGCGAGCTGCAACCTGCCGAAACATTGGTATAATAAAACCTACACTTTTATTTGAAGACCTCCGAGTGCCTACTAAACTTTTGCTATACATCTATAATACCCCTGACACACACACAGATATACATATATACCTATATCCCATTTACCACCTAGAGGAGGAGAAAAAATACCTGGTACTTATGGATAAAGAGTTTCATGTGACTTACTCCCCCTGCTCTCCGTTGGCAGTGCTGATGCTTGCCGATTGGCCTAGGGCTGTCACATGGGGCAGGGAGAGAGTCCTCAGCCCTGTGTACCCTTTGACTGGGATTGACTTGATTTACAAACGGCTTCTTCTGATCACTCTTGGGGGGCAAACAGAATATTAGGGCAGGAAAAGGAAGGCAAAACTGTGGGCAAAAACACAGGCTGACTTTAAAGGTTATTTGTACTTTTTTCATAAACCCCCTGCCCTGCTCTTGTCATCAAATTCCTAAAGTAGCCATGACCCTGGATTCAAACCAATTGAAGTTCTTAGTGACAGGTCTGCCCAAATTTAGCACATGTTTACATCCTTTAGTATTTAGGAATTTGATGAGGACGGAGAATGGAATATAGGGTTTATTATAAAAGTGCAAAGTGGGTGAAAAGAGTCGTGTGCTATAAACTACTAGAACCAAAGCTTTCAGATCCAGACAACTTGAAACGTCAATTGGTGGTATTATACAGTATATGTACTTTTATAGATTTGATATGCTATCTTTGTATTGTATACTATTCCCACTAGCAATTTCATTGAAATGTTAAGCATATGTCCTCATCCAGTCACAAGTACATGATTGCTACAGACCGATAAGCTACATCCTGTGTGATGTGGTTATTAAACAAAGGAGTGTCCAAACAAACCAAGTTTCCATGACATGGATTAGAGGCATACGTAGCGGTGTAATTACAGCTTCTCTGCAAGGGATTATGTATGAAAAATAACAGTACTTCCTTCTACCTAATTTATACAAAATCCCAAGGTGCCTGTTATTTGTAGTAGAATAAAAGTTTCAGAACATTTATCATTTTGGTTTCTATATCATTTTTATACCAGACCACAGCAGGATCAGGATGATCCATGAATGCTGGCTGACCTGTCACACCCTATACACCGTATGGTCTAGATTTGTTACATCACTTTTTAACAAAGAGAGCCATCAGCCTGGCACACCAGACTTCTGGGTGGTATAACTGCAGAGGGTAAACAACCATGTAGTCTCTGCTATACTGATACTAGAATGCAAGAGTCAGCATCAGCCTAGTCTTTAACCACTTGAAGTCCGCGGTGTTTAAACCCCCTTCCCATCCAGGCCATTTTTCAGTATTCAGCGCTGTGTTACTTTGACCGACATTTATTCTGTCATGCAATGCTGTACTGAAATACATTTGATACAATTTTTTGGGGACAGACCTTTCTTTTGGTGGTATTTATTCACCACTGGGGTTTTTATTTTTTACTATATTAAAAGGAAAAATTACCGAAATTTAAAAAAAAAAAAAAAAGAACTGTTTCCCCTATATTAAATGATAACATATTTATTATTACCCAACTTTTTTATAAGAGACGGGGTCACGTCGGGTAAAAAAATACACCAAACATGTCAAGCCTTAAAATTGTGTGCACATGCGAAACCTCAAAAAACTATAAGCCTTAAAACAGGAGCCTGGCACATCTGTTGGCCAGGTGGAGGGGTGAAAAAATTTAGGAGGAAGAAGCCATGTGCAACGCAAGTTTGCTACCCCCCAGTACACTGATACAGTACAAACTTCCCTTCTCACCTGGTCACTACATCACAAAAAGAAAGAGAAATAACATTTATTAGAAGCAAAGCCGTCTTGTGATTTTACCTTCAGCTACAACCTGCAGATTAAGTGGATACCTTAAGGCCCCTTTCAGACGGCCGCTCTGATCGGGTCCATCCGTCAGTTTTTGTAGGCAGACCCGATCGAATGCCCAATGCAAGTCCACGGGCAGCCGTGTATAAACGGACTAGCGTCCATTTAGAGCTGGTTATCCCCAGCGCCAGCTGGGTCCCAAAAAACAGGCAGAACACTGTTCTCTTTCAACGGACCGTATCGTGCCGGATGGTGAGTAATCTGATGTAAACGGACATGGCCATTGACATCAGATTCCCCATAGACACACATGGGGTCCGGCAGTTTCAGTTTTTTCCTCCATCGCAAGATAGAGCAAAGAACTGTACGGACACGGATGTCGCAGCGTTGACATCCACTCCGTACTGCTGTGATCAGGAGAGGATTTGTGCACGGATCCCTGATCAGCTCTTTTAGAAAGGGGCCTCAAAGATTGACTTTTTACCCCATTATATTTTGAGTGCTTGTGACACTCATTTTGATAGAGCTGCTTCACACTATCAATAGAACTACAGAACACAGAAAATAACAATGACTAAAATGTTGATTGTGCAGAATATAGAACATGAGGGCATATATACACCAACCACTAAACAGGAAATGGTGCTACATGGCAGTCACTACAGAATTATGAAAATATACAAACGTTAGAGGCTAACACCATCTAAACCAAATGTTTAACTTTGCATGGTTCTTGTGCAACAGCTCCAGTGGTATCACACAGCCAAAGATTATGTCACAAAAATGAAGAACAGGGAAATAAAAGTGTGACTGTCATTGTGACCTTGGGGGAAGAGGCCAGGGGTGGAATACAATCCACTACACTGTGAACTCAGAGGGATGTAAGAAGCCTGGATGAATGCAATAGGTGTTCAAAGCTGAAATGTCAGTTTTGGGTGGCCTAATTTTCTGAACGAAGCATGCTGGAGAGAAGGCTGCCAACAGGGCCACCCACTGAGGGAATTTTGTCAGTTTCATCAAGAATCAGCTGAAATTCCCATAGTGTGTGGCCAGCTTCAGTCAAGCAACATGTCCTTTTGCATTTTGATGTAGCATTGTAGTGTGTAATGCTCCTGAGGACTATGAAAAGAATAACAAGGTAAGGTAGAAGCGTCTCACCTGCAAGACTGCGAGATTTTTTTGAGGATAGACACTGGCTCTTTCTTCCTTGGGTGCAAATGTTCTTGGAGATATTCCTGGGTGAATATGGGCCTCTCTACGCAGTACTTTTGTCTCTGATAAAGGCAGTCATCTTCCCCTGAAGCTAGTTCCATAGCACATTTCAGATCTTCTGTAAGTATCTGCAAATTATTAGAAGGAATAACTAAATTTACTACATATACATACATGATAATGTCAAATTATTACTGTATTACATATGGATGGGTAAAACCCTTATCCATCACAGCTCACAGTCATAAGAGGTACCATGGACCATACTCGGGCAGATCTTCAGAATGGAATTACTACGGTATACAAGAGAAGAAGAAACCTAGAGAACAAAGGAAAGAAAATGGACAGCTCTTTTAGGCCCTGTTCACATCTGTGCGTTTTAGTGTGGTGCAGTGTAGGCATGTTAATCAGTGGCAGGACAATGTACTTCAGGACCCAAAGCAAAGATACCAAAGTGTGCCCCCTCCAACATTTCTACACTTTTAATGTAAGGGTAGAGAGGACCAATGGGGGGCATAGTAGTGCATTGCCATGTGTTACAGCGCACTACATTGTAGGTGCATGATCTCAATGCATTGGGATACCTTTCGGAATGAATGGCACTGCAGCATATTGACACACACACACTGACACACACACCACGATTATTAATATCATACAGGATTTATATAGACCCAACAGTTTGTGCAGAGCTTTACAATATAACGAAAACATTACAATCACAATACAATTCAAGACAAGATGGTAAGGAGGGTCCTGCCCCTTAGGGCTTACAATCGAAAACAATGTGAACCTGGCCTAAAAAACTGTCACTGGACTGTCTGTGCAAAATAATTATTGTAGCAACAAACTTTGTTGCTTGTGTGTGTGCAGGCACGTTCTATAGCATCCTTGTCTTCTGACACCTGGACTGAAATATGATCAATGCCTGACAATGTGAGTGTATCAGACTCAGACCACACAAGGGTACTATCGAAAGTGCAGACACTTCAATGCATTCTGCCTAGCAGCACTGGGGGTCCCTGATTCAAATCCCGGCCACGTCACTATCTGCAAGGAGTTTGCACGTTCTCCCTGTGCTTGCATAGGTTTCCTTCTGGTACTCCAGTTTCCTCCCACACTACAAAGACATGCTGGTAGGCAAGTTGTCTTCTATCTAAATTGTCCCTGTATGTATGCACGCACGCAAGATAGACACCTTTAGATTGTAAACTCCTTGAGGGTAGGGACTGATGTGAATGTGCACTATGTAAAGCACTGCATAAATTGTTGGTGCTACAGTATATAAATACCTATAATAAAATGTTTTTTATCTTTCAGTCAGGTCGACAATTATAAACCGTTCCAGTGGTGCTCCAACCATCCCAGCCTTTGTCACATGGCATGCATCTGCGTAATACCCACTTAGTTCTGTTTCCCTATTAGATATGATTGTACTTTAACAAACACGTGATTATATAATGTTGTGCACGTCCATAATGACAAAGTAATGTTCTCCTTGAGAGCACTGAAAGTCCTTGAAAATACACAGAGGAAGTTGCTCATGTGTTCCATGGGTACTCTGATGAGTTATTTCCTGACTGATTGCTGGAGTCCACACAATTACTCAATACAATAAATGCCTGTCATCTACTGTTATTATAAAAGATAACAGTCAGTCAAAGCAATACATTTAGGCTTGGTTCACATCTGCGCGTCGTGGTAACACGCGGTCGCGTGCCGCAATTGCCACACGGCCCCATTGATTTCAATGGGGTCAATACGCATGGCAACAAGGCTCCTGCACTATTTTATGCAATGTGCGGGACATGGATTTTTTGCTGGCACATTTGCACGCGGTGAATAAACTGCGTGACTTACCAGCCGCATTTGGCGTGTCATGTCAAATCAGTGCCTCCACAAGCACGTTTCTGCCAACGTGCAGCAATCATGCGATCAGTAAGGCCTGGTGTGAACCAGGCCTTACTGGTAAGACAAAAAGCCATCCTAAAGGGAACACTAGGATACTAACTACTGTACGGAAAAGTAACATCAAATATCTTCTTAGGAGATACATCAGTAGGATCACACAGTGTATACCTAATGAAAAGTCCTACACAAAGAGAAAGGTTACAGCAGAGGATAAACTGAAAACAAGTCTCGGCATGGTACAAAAACAGGAATACAGGCAAAAGGTCAGCAGTCTTTAAAGAGAAAACCAAGACAAGGCGTTCTTATTCTAAAAAAACGAAATATCTTACAATGGCCTACAGCACATAACAAACCTCTATATGAGAGTCATAACAAAATGGTTATATCTGATGTAACATTCATACCCCGAGTGCACACTGAGAGGTACAAACCCCCTCTGATGTGTCACTATACCAGCCACTAGAATAGGAACAACTTGACACTTCAGCAACCATTTACTTTTATCCTAAATGCAGATATCATGACAAGAGCAGACACAATGTCATTTCATTCCATCCATGGTCACTGTACGATCATTGTATCAGATGTCCTTATTTCTTGTAACAACTTGACTTTTTCCTATAATGTACTGGTAAAATCTGAGAGCCTGAAGTCTATCTAAATCCCCAAAAAGTAATACATTGCAGCATGAATCACCAGTTCTGATAAGAGGTTGCTGCGTTCGTTTTATTGTTCCGGCTTCTTCCCCTTTTCTTTACCTGGTGATCCGGCCAGTGACATGCTTTCCCACACTAACAAGCATGACAAAGCTCACTAGCTGTACTGTCTCTAAGGAGGAGCAGCATGTCACCCTGGGACAGGACTACAGGGCATTTGTCCAAGAGCAGAGGGTTGTTTATATTGTTTTGAGGACTACAGGGCACCTACCCTTCTTTTCATCTGCATAGCATTGAGGGAAGGTGTTTTATATTCCACAGAGAGAGCTGAGAACAATACTAACTGATAACAGTACATACATAGAACACAGGAGGTTATCAGCTTTCTGACAGGATCAACAGGTACATTTTTTGCACTTAAATAATAAAACAGAAAACACTTTCAAATTGTATATTTAACAAACCAAAAAGATCAAATAAGAGAAAGTTCTTTGCCAGGGTTTCTATACACTTTAAATTAGGGGTGGGCAAACTCCATGCCTCCAGTGGCAGTGAAAGCCCATCATGCATGTATCTCTGGGAGTCATGTCTGTGGCTGTGAGAATCTTGCAATGTCTCATGGGATTTGTAGCTCCACAACAGCTGGAGGGCTGGAGTTTGCACACCCATACTTTAAATCAGTACACCCACAAATTGAAGTAATGTTAAGCGTATTTATGACTCTTGTGGCAACATGTCCTTCACTACGCCAACTTTATGCCTTTAAAGCACAACTAAGCCTAACAACAAATACTAAAGCGGATCAGTCCTTAAATGTGGTGGCTGTACTAGTCCTCTTTTTTTCAGGCTTCTTTACTAAAAATGTCACCAGGTAATAATGCAAATAACACATCACGTCTCTGGGTGGCAATGCTCATTCTTCCATGGTATCTATGGAAGGAGTCATGGTTGTCACCCAGGCTGGACTTCAATCATCTGCCTTTCTTCATCTCCATTACATTGGGGATGGGGAAATCGATCATTAAAAAGGCCAAGTTTACCTTTTGCAAAAATTAATGAAAGGCATAGTTAATAATATATAAAAAATATGCATTTCTTTATTATTTGCATTCAAGCCTGGAAAGTATTGCAATCGTGATCACAACTGGGAAAGCTCAGGCTTCCGCACATTTTCAAACTGGCAGAGGTCGTACGGGGGTACAGAGTTTGTTAGGAGAGGTGGGAGGAAGGGCGGCTGGACTTCAAACTGCATTAACACCCCATTCACACCTAGGCGTATTGTAATATGCGCGTCCGTCACGCGTTTTTTTAACGCGATTCGTGGTAAAAAAGTCGCGCGACCGTCGCGCGATTCCAAAGGCTACTTGGCTGTATCCCAATGGAAAACGCCCTACAAAACGGCCCAAAGTAGTCCCGGGACCTTTTCAGGCGTGGGCCGTTTTGTAGGGCGTTAGGTACGGGCGGAAATATGGCGAGGTGGGAACGAGGGCATTGACTACAATGCAATTTATATTTTTGACCGTTTTGTAGAGCGTTCGTCGAGCGTAGAACGCCCTACAAAACGGTCAGGTGTGAACACAGCCTAAATCACCTCATACGGCGTCCAACCATACTCGCTCTAGGTAGAGCAGCCCATATCCCCGCATGTACCTAGAGCGAGGACAACTGAACGCCTTATGAGGTGATTTAATGCAGTTTGAAGTCCAGCCATCCTCCTAACTGAAACTCTGTACCTCAGTATGAGCTCTGCCTGAGAGAGAATGTGCTGAAGTCTGAGATTTGCAGCTGTGATTGAGTGATCACAATTACAATGCTTTCCACTGGTTTCCAGGCATGAATGCAAATACTAAAGAAATGCATATTTGTTTATATATTATTAATTATGCATTTCTTATTTTTTTTTCAAAAGGTGAACTTATCCTTTAACATTTTAAATGCATTAGTATTTACAAAAGAACGATAAGGTAATTTGCGCTTCACAATTTATAGGAAGTGACATGGGCGCTGTGTTTTCAGCAACATCAACACGTATTTTTGTACTTTCTGAAAATGTTGTGGGAAAAAAAAAAAAATGCAGTCACCACATGTAACATGTTTGTGGGTTAGCTACTCTTTGAGACAATCTTTCTAGGATCAGATCGTTGTACAAACACGTACATTCACATTGGACACATATGTATGTGCTTTTCTATGGGGGTGGGAGTAGCACGTGAGCACTGGCTTCCCTTAGGCAAACTGAACAATGAGTTGGGAAAATCCATCCTGTCGAATTGTTTTACCATTGGAGAGTGCTCAGCCAGGTTTACTCAGGGGATAATAGGACGGACCTGAAGACATATAGTATGAATGTTCCCCAATCATATATTACTACATTGAACATGTTTTCTTATGTTTGCAGGCACCTTTAATACCCTCCCATGGTGGATATTCCAGGTTTTCTCTTTTCTGCCCACCTGTTGAATTAGCCTTTCTTTCTGCACTGTGTAAAGCACACAATATGACTTGTCAAACATGCCAGGCCTTTATTGTCAGCCACAATGTTATTTTAGGATCTCTAAGCT